AAAAAAAAATGGCAATGCCAGCCACCATGGATTACAGCTCCATTTCTCAAATGAATAAAATAAGCACATTGCCTTGATTCAAATTCAGTATTTGCATCATTCTAAAATAGCTTTTAGCATCTGGGTCAGTGTAGTACATGTCAACTCTTTTAATAGTCTTTAAAACTATCTTCTGTTGGGAGAGTTAAGTGAATAGAAAATAGATCCAAATTGGTAACTTCTATACACTAACCCCACTCATTATGGATCTAAAACTCAGAATCTTCTCTGACCATGACACATTAAATACAAGACAGAAAACATCCAAAAATTTCAATAATTTTTGTTATACAATTTGTTACACATTTTGTTTTTCTAAATTAAAAATCTTGCTATTTTAATCTGTAATACTTAATAAAATGTACAATTACCAAGCACAACTATAGATCAACTCTTATTTTACATGGACAGAAGGATAAAAATAGAGTTGATGATGGTTGCTGGGCTCCCAACCATAAAAACTCAGAAACAAAAGAGGACCGAAAATTGACTGTACTGGCTTTTATGCCAGGACATAATACAGGCAAACCATCTAATGGGTGCCCCATCAATGACAAACAGCTCTCAGATCCACAATAGAAAGCTCTAGGTATATCTGTTAGAAGCGCAGAGTATTTCAGGCCTTACCCCCTTTTCCTGAGCCAGAACTGCGCTTGCACAGACAAGATCCCAGGTGGTTTATACGCAATCACTTGAAGTTCACGGGCATTAAGCTGGTGGAACGCTAATGTACTGGACAGAACCGCCCCCCCCCAATTTGGTTTTCTAGTTAATACACCACTGTTACATTGTCTTAGGAAACAAAAATTTCAACACCATATTTTCCCCCAAACATAAAAATATTAATCCCTCTACTTTTAAAAACATAGTATAGAAAAAGTGAAGAAACCGATAGCAAACAAGACAATTAAAAGAGAAAACAGTATCAAAAATATTCAAGAAAACATGTCAGAACAATTACCTTTAGTATAAAAATAATTGATTATAAAGTATATATGTAAAACAATTCAATTTTATAGTAATCAAATATAACTATGCTATATTTAATACTATTATACACGTACAGTGTAATCTCTAGATATAAAATGTTCTATATTCTATTTTACATTAGCTCTGTTATCTGAAATCTAAACAATGTTCTGTGAGACGGATACATTACTTCATTTTCTGCAGATCCTCACGAGCTCTGGCTAATGCAGCTTCAGCAGACAGTGCCCTGGCTTCCATATGCTTCAATTTTTCCACAACAGAAGTATTTTCACTGAGCCCATTGGGGTATGAGAATGGGACTGATATTGGTTCATACAGATCTTCTACATCTGAAGAAATAAATGGACATTATCATCAGGTCATCCTTTGGCAATGAAATGGGTATAAAGACTTTAGGAATATATCCTAAATGCCTCTATGCAGCCAACTGAAAAACAATGGTGGAAGTACTCCTAATTAAATAACATCACAATTGTCTCATTTTGAATTCAAAGAATATGCTACTTGCTTAAGTCCTTCATCTCACTTAAACACATGTAAACTTTAATTATATGGGAACAAAACACACAAAAAAGAAAGAACTCCTTATTGGCTAGCAGGCAGTTCTCAAGTGCACTTGCATCACATCTCACATAATCCTACAAACAAGCCTAAGATCCACCTAGCAGCCCAAGCCCTCATCTGAAGCACAGCAGATACTCCTCAAGGGAAATCCTGCCACTGGGGACAACGTGGGTGAGCCTGGAGGACGTTATGCTAAGTGAAGCAAACCAGAAAGGGTTAGGTAAATATGCATGATCTCAGCTCCGTGCAGAATCTAAGAACCTCACAAACATAGAGTAATATGGTGTTTGTCAGTGGCTGAGGACTAGAAACAACACAGAAAGTTGGTCAAGTGGCACACATTGATAAGATATGTAACTTCTGGGCACTAATGTACTGTACAGGAACTGCAGTTAATGTCATAGGGCATACTTGAAACTTGAAAATATGTGAGATGATAAAGGTGTTATCTTGGCTATAGTAATGATTTCAGAATGTATATCAAATTATAGTACTGTACACTTCAAGTGCATATAGCTTTTTAAGTGTCAATTTTGGCTTGATGAAGCTAAAGGTACTCCTTATAGATAAATAATTCTATGCATTCAACAGCTTTCTCATCCTGGGGAAGGTACACTGCAATCTACATATTAACCATCTACAAATGATATTATTAAATATCTAAATTCTTAGTATTAAAAGTTTTAATTTAAATTTTATTATAAATAAATCATTAACCTGCTCTAGAAAGAATTCTATGAATAAAAATCAAATATGGAGCTAGTTTACAAAATACCAAGCTCTACTTAATGGGTCTAATTATCTTTCAGATCAAGCTTAAACCCAAAACACAAGTTATATTTTCTCCTCAATAGCACTGAGAGATATTTTCTGATCCAGTTTTTAAATGCAACATTTTTGAAGACACTTCTAAGAGTTACAACAAAATAGCTACACTTAAGAAATACATTTAGGAAAAAAAAAAAAAAAGAAAAAGAAATACACATGAGACTAAAGCCTAAATTGAACACTTTTTCCAATAATAGTGCAGTGTGTGACTAATCTCCATTCTGACAGAAGCCTGAGTAACTGTATTTAAAAACCTAGAGGGAAAGAAATCGTTCAAAAAAAAAGGGACAACCAGAATAAGGAACGAGGGAAAAGAGAAGAAGAAGGGAAAAAGTATGTATGAATATACACAGGACAGCTTAGATAATTTTACTGCTGGCTTCTGCTGATCTGTTAAAATGAGCAGTAAATGCTTAAATTTTATTTTCTTTCAAATTGGAAATGGGGGTCCTTTCTGCAATCTTTTTTTGTGGTATGAGGGATCATACTTGGGACCTTGCGCTTGTCAGGAAGACGCTTATGCCACTGAACTGTGTCGCCGGCCCTCTTCCTCTTCTTTTTTACCAATTTTGCATGCTTATATCTGGTATCTGAACAATTTGAAGACAATAATACGCAATATAACGACCATTACTGAATTCCTATCACTTTGTTTAGTGAAATTCTGTATCTTTTCTTAAACTATTTCTTGTTCTCTTTAAAAAAAAACAAAGTTCTGCTGGTGATGGTGGGTTGTGACTGTGACCCCAGCCTTCTGACAGACTGAGGCTGAGGCTGAACATCAAAAGCTCAAGTTCAGCCTGGGCAACTTACAGCAAAACCCTGTCGCGAGAGACAAAACAGTTGTCCTGAAGCCGCTTTTCACGTAAAATAAAAAACAATCTGGGATTATAGCTCAGTACAAAGACTCTACGTTCAATCCCAAATGTGACTCCCACTATCACACACACACACACACACACACACACACACACACACACAAAAACCTTGAGATCCATTCACTATTTAATTCATCAAAAATGAAAAAAATGAATGAGCACAACAAAATATTTCTAGACTATGGCACATTTTCTACTTTCTCATACAATCCTTACAACCTTTTCATTTTGAAAATTCTTCAAACTGTTCAAGTTTCTGCACAATTTTTTGCTTATTTGTCATAATAACTTTAACGATATGGACATAATCATTTACTCAATGTTAAACTTATAAATGTGAAAAGCAGAAAAGAGTCAATAAACACAAAGAAGAATGTATTAGAAATAGTCTTTTGACCTTTCTCTCTTTAACATTACTTCCTGGAAGTCATTTTGTATCACATCGCAGAAATATTCTTTTAAAGAGATGTATACTCCTCCGTGGTGCGCAGTACCACAGTTTACCCAACCACTCTATTATGGGCATTTAGGTTGTGTCCAATATTTGAAAACCGCAGTGCTAGAATAAATAACTTCATTGTATGTGTTTTCAGAACCAGAGGTGTACCTTCAATTCTTCACAGTGCCTTTTAAGAGTAGTAAGTGTTGGGTCTCAAAGTGAACAAAGTCAGTGGCAGACGTTGCCTAGCACATAACACATTTGTTGACATCAAGTGAAGGGTGAAACAGCAAGTAATCAAGCCTGGAGTCAAGAAAATGACGACTTTCCAACCCGCCTCTCTCCACCAAGGGCCGGCAACACAGATTACTAGAGAAGAGAAGCAACACATCTAAGACCATGCCCAGTTCACACCTTGCTTCTTTTAATATGCCTCAACAGTTCTAACATATCAACTCCTGTAGGACTTCAGTAACTTTACTTATAGCAATCCATTACTCTTTATTAAGCACATACCCTGTGGCAGGTACCATGGTAATACATGTTATTTGTACAACAATCTTTTAACACGGTTATCATTAATGCCTCTTCCCAATTAAAATTAAGGCTATAAGAAACTACACACCTTTAGAAAGTAAAACATCCATACTGACCCAGTGATCAACATGACACCTTCAATCTGTCATTATCTGAATAAATAACTTCTTCTGTAACTCTTCTACTTCTCATGGAATTTATCATGTTCTACTTCATATTAAAATATAGGACATTTTTAAAACACCTACGTTATTAGACTGAGGATTCTGAATAAAAGGACTACAAAATTCATCTCTTTATGCTCCCTAGGCATTTAATATACTGTCTTCATCTACTGAGTGTTCAATGCAGGACTTCGAATTTAAGAAATCAGGAAGAAAAACCTTTGATCACTTTGTCATTTATCAAAGACACCAATTTGGTCAATGAGAAATGAGATTAAATAAAAGTTGTAAAAAGGAAGAATGCAGGTAGGAACCAAATTTTAGAGCTTGAAACAATCTCAGAAATCTGGCCCTAAACCTTCATTCTTTGGTAAAAAGACAAAACAGAAAGCCTAAGTGTTTTTCCATGTCACATAATTCATAAAACTTTAAGTTTCTTACATTGAGCTACTTGCTGTCAGATTACAGCACCATGCAACTCAAGGATGATACTTCTCTAGGAACAAAGAGGTAATGGAGTTAATAATTAAAATAGAAACTATCAAACTATTACCTGTTACAGTACATCTGTTTCAAAAGATATTACTGATTTGAAGATATTACAAACTTTCCATCTCTCTTAACTGACCCAAGGAGCATGAATAGTGTAAAGCAGGGTAAGTAAGAGAGCAGCTACGTGTGGTGATTCACACTTGTGTTTCAGCACTTGTAAGACAGAGGTAAGTGTTGCAAGTTGAGGCTGGCTGGGACTGCATAGTTAAAATCCCATCTTGAAAGAAGAGGAAGAATATATAATTCCACTTCTACAGATGAAATTTAAACAGTATAAGAGACCAAGAGAATTTTCACAAGACTTCTGTGCCATAAGGAATAAACCAAGGCAGGGAGCAAATAACTAAAGAATGTCATGGATAAGAAATGAGCGATAGGACCAGCGAGATAGCTCAGCAGACTAAGTGCCTGCTTAGGCAAGCACAGGGACCAGGCTTGAGCCCCACCACATGCCACTACGGGCCCACCCCCAGGTGGGCTGAGCCAGCCACTGAGACCAGGTGTGGTAGCTCACACCTATAATCTCAGGGCTGGGGAGGCTGAAAACAGGAGGATCACTTTGAGGCCAAGCTGCACAGTGAGACCCTGTACCAAATACATAAAGAAATAAAAAATATGAGCAAGACTTAGTCAGAATGGAAGCTTGAGTCAGTGAATGAGGATCAGCTCATGAAAATGGAATCCGTCCTACATTAAAACAAAATCTCCTAAAATCAGACACATTAAGTCAATTGTGTTATCTGAATATTTGAGACAAAAACAGTAAAATTATTCAGCTGACTTTAAAGCTTAAGCTAATAATTAAAAATTACTCTCTGAAGTCACCCTGTTTCAAAAAATCCCATATAGCATGTTCAAATAAGTTCATACATCTAAATTCCTCCCTGATAATGGTTAGTGTAACTGTCAGTTTTTAAGTGAGTTAACTTTTCTATTAAAATCAATTACCTGGGGCTGAGGATATAACTCAGAGGCAAAGCGCCTGCCTGGTGAGCTCAAGGTCCTAAGTCTGATTCCCAGTTCAAAACAAAAATCTATGACCTGATAAGGTCTTCAGAGAACTGTAAAGTTGGTCTCTCATTAATCATGGAGGGTAGGTTCTATGACCCCCCACAGAATGGTACTATGGACAGTACTGAATTCCATATGCACTAGGCTTTTCCTGTATGACGCTACCAAAAAAAAATTTATGAATCAGCCACAGTAAGAGATTTTACAATAAAAAGTACAACTTTAATAAGCTTTTTGAATTACTTGGTTTCACTCTAAAAAGATTACTTGAACACAAGTACAGCAGTACTGTGATGGTCAATCCTAAAGTGCTACTAATTAAAATGATACAATACTAAGTAAGGAGCAGGAAGCACATACAGTACAGATAGGCCGGACACAACACACACTAGCACAAGACTCGCTAGGTGCCACAGCAATGCAGAGCTTAAAATTCCTGAACTGTCTGTTTCCAAGATTTTCCCATTAGCATTTTCACACTACGGTAGACAGTGGGTAACTAAAAACATGGAAAGTAAAACCACACAGAAGGGAGTCCACTTGTGTATTTTCCCGTAACACTTCACATTCATTCTGCCACACAGCAGACACATTATGTTCATCTTACCAAACTGAAGTAAAAGGTCATCTTCTAACACTGGCTTCAAATACTCTTCTTTCTCCCAAGGCACTGGGTTGTATATGGAGTTCATATACTCAACTGTAGGATTCTGGATGTAAAATTAATTGCATGTTTATTCACTGCCTGTAATCACAAACCTACCTGGTAAAAACTACAGAAATTATTAAAAAAAAAAAAAATCATGTCTACATCACAAAAAAATCATTCTATCTCTCTATAAGAGACCTATTCGACCAGCTATTCTAAGTGGTTTCAATGCAGAATTTTCTACTGTTTATATTCAGGGAAAGTGACAATAACAAGTCACTTAAATAGTACCAAAAAAAGAACAGTATTTTTTAAAAAAAGAGAGAAAGAAAAAGTATTCACAATCATACTAGAAATTACTTCTCAATTTACAGAGATACTATCAGCATTCCCCATTATCTTGACATTGAATTTTTTTTTTTTACATAGCACTGGTTTCATCTCTTGGTCAGAATGATACTTCTAACTATACATACGCATTCACATAGTGTTTTACGTTGTAGCAGTGCCTAATGCCCTTAATTACTGCATTATAATGAACATCAAATTTAAGTTTCTCATGTTCCTATACTCAGTGCAATGAGAGGCACTGTGGCATTTCTTACATTTCTAAACAAAATTATAAATTAAGCTGCCAACTTACCTTAAGCCTAATAAAATTTATTAGTTTAATATATCCATAAAATTCAAGTCCTAAAGGGAAAAAAAAGATAATTCACCTATTTCAATATAATGTGAGTTAAGTGACTTGTTCTATAAAAGATACTCCAACTAGATAACAAAGTATTTCTAAACTTTAAACTGCAATCTATATTTTGAACTTATTTAACAATTAGAAATTGTAATTTTGATATTTCTAAGTATTTTATCTGAGAAACAACCTTAAATAACAAAATTTTAAATGCTTTCCCTCTATTTCTGAAGAATATGGAAACCTAATTTTTGGAATTCACTCATTTGTAAGAGCTATAAAAATATGAAAAATTAAGTCTTCAATTTTACCAAGTATCTGGCAGTTAATATTAAAAATTAAGTTTCTAAGTCTTTAGTTTTTATGGTGCCTACAAAAATATAATTTTGGTGAGACAGAATATACAAAAATCTACTTGCTTCTCTGTGAAATTAAATGATGCAAATGCACTGCCTATTTTTCCAGAAACAAAGCACCACTTAAGACAAAGCAAACTACAAAAACAACAATATGCCATGTATTAATTATTGTAACTGTCTTACTAACCTGTTTTGAAAACTATCTCATTGTTATTTCTTTCTCATTAAAATAAAAAAAAAATTTTAAAAAGCAAAGTAGTAATATATTGGTTATTATTTGTTACATGACAAATTGGACATTATTCATCATGAGAAAATTGAGAAATGTTTTAGTAGCATACAAAAACTCCACTGCACAGTGAAAAATTATATATAAAATATAGTTGCACTCAATTTAAAACACATTAAAAATGGGAGAAAAAAATGAGGCTTTTGTTTATACGATTTCCAAAAATGGCTGCATTTTAATTTAAGATTTATAGATATATCACACATTTATTTGAGACCTAAACACCTGTCTAGTAGGTGCCATTCCTCCACAATGTCTGTTCTACGTGCTAATAAATGCAGGGAACAAAAGGCCAGTTCTATTTTTAGTTAATTTTAGTGGAACAGCACAATTTGTATATACATCTGAAGTACAAAGCCTTATATACCTTTCAACAAAGTCAGCAGAAACACCACCCGAATATTCTGCACAATACCTTAACTTCCTCAGTCCATTTTCCATACTTTCTAACCAAACTTATAAAACACAGGAGTTTTGTTTTTTGAGACAGGGTATCCTCAAACTCTTGGCAATCCTCCTGCCTCAGCCCGCAAGCCTGGGATTATAGGCATGTTTCCATGCTCAGCTGGTAAAACTCAGTCCTGTAAACCTCTAAATTCATGTTATGCTCTCACTTCATTGTTTTTGTAAGGATCTACCACTCTCCCAAAGGCCATTTCTACCCTTGATCTCCAAGTTTTAACAGAATGAAATACACTCACACCCTAGGTTTTTTTCCCATCTTTTAAATTATGCGGCCATTATAAGCCCAGAAGACTGACTTAATACTTTTTCAAAGGTACTTGTCAATAACACTTCTACTAGCAAAGCTGCTACTGTGCATCTCACTATAGCACACCTGTATAAAAAGGATGCTGAAATTTTGAACTTCCCAAATACTTACCATGTTTATGGACCATGCTATCAATATTAAACTGATGCTCTGACTTACAGTGTGAAAACGTCTCTTCAGCAGATGTGAATAACCTGAAACATCAAAGGACAGCCTTACTGAACAACCCTGAGACTAAACATTCACTTCATGTAAAATATTTCTCCCTCAGCTCATTTATTCAATTTGTAATTAAGTAAAGTTGTACATACAGAGGAAAAGACTAAAACCCAGCACTTCTAGTGAGAATTACTTAAGTTCACTAGCCCTCAGACAGCACTGAATTTATCAAAGGGCTTTCAAGAAATAAATAGGCGTGTGTTTCCATGCTCAGCTAGTAAAACTCAGCGGAGTTTTAGATGCTTTGATAGATGCTGTGTGTCTCAAGCCATGAAAACTCGTCCTAGAGACTCTTTTCCCCAGTGTCAGCTCTTTTCCAAAAGCTCTCAAGTAGCTCAACTCAAACAGCTTTATCCATAAAGGCTAGCACATTTACAGCTGGCACATGCCCTCTTTCCAAGGTGCCCCTGCTGTGTTCCCACAGCAGTGGCACTACCGACACTGGGAGGCTCCAGCCTCTTTACTAAGCGACCTGCAAAACTGAAGGACACCTAAGATAACACTGGGTAGAGGCCCTGCATAGCCCTCCTCCAGGCAAGTACATATGGACATGCATCAGTCTCCAACGTTTAAACCAAGACAGGTTACCTGCACCTTCGACATACCACCCACCCCACCACACTATGTCAACCATGGGCACAGTGGACAGCTGCCACGCCAGTCCTGTCTCTTGCATGCCCACTTGCCCAGAGCAGTTGAAGCCCCGGCTTCTGAGACTGTCCGGCAGAACTTTAAGTGGAGAGAATGTGTTTGTGAGTACTAAGCACAGCTCTGTGACCATGCTCAAGTTACTGCCTTTTTTTACCCAAAATAAAAAGTACAAAAATAGCATCAACTCCTTACTGCTAAGTGGGGAGGCCCTACATAAGAGGTGAACTTAAGAGTACTTTCGTGGCTCAAAGGGAAATGTTACACCGGAGCAGCCCTCTACTGTTTAAGGGCCTTTAGTAGTAATGGTAAAACGTGGAAGGGAATACCTAGGTTAGTGTGGCTCCCAAACTCAAAGAGCACTGGAATCACCACCGACAAGGTTTTCATTTGCAACTACATCCAGGCGGGGCGGAGCGGCATACGCCCTAATCCCAGCACTGAGGGAGCTGAGACAGCTCAGTAGAATAAGCGCTCGCCTGGCAAGCGCAAGGGCCTGGGTTCAATCCCCGGTTCCTCAAAAAAAAAAAAAAAACCCACACAGGTTGACCAGCATTGGGAAGGCTGAGACTGGACGACCGCCGGTAGCTGGAGGCTAATCCGTGCTGCACAGCAAGTGCAAGGCCAGCCTGGAATACAGAGACCACGAACGACTCCTAGATCGCATTCTGATTTACAAGCATCGAGGTGCATTGTTAACCATCTACTTTCTGTGTTTTCTTTAGAATATCTCGGGAGACCAGGGTGCACATCCGATGGGAGGCCAGGCTCCTCCGGGACAGCAGGCCTGGCTCGGCGCCCCCCCTTAGCCCGCGCGGTCCTGGCGCCGCGGAGCCCCGGGGCACGAACCTGTGACAGAACAGGCAGGGAGTCTGGCGCCGGCCCGCGGCCGGCTCGGCCTCGTCCTCGTCCTCCCACGCGGCCTCGTCCCCGCTGTCCGACAGCTCCGGCAGGCCGTCGTCGTCCTCCACGGCGGCCCGGCCACCTAGCACACGCGACAGTCAGAGGCGAGGCGAAGCGAGCGCCCCCCCGCGCCTCCCACGAGGCCCCGCGCGGCCCACGCGGCGCGGCTTGCGGCGGGGCTCCGGGGCCCAGGTACCCACCGACAGCACCCGGCGCTACGGAGCACATGGCGGCGGAGCCCGGGACTCGGGGCGGGGGCCGACCGGCAGCGGCGGGGATCCCTGCGGAAGCCGAGAGACGCGCGAACACGCGCCGGCCGGACCGCTTCCGGCCTGGAGGTCACGTGCGGCGGGCGAGCGGGCGGGCGGTGGGAGGCGCGCTAGTCGGAAGGGCGGGCGGGGCGAGAGGCAGGCTTTGAAACGCCCGCGCTGGTCACGTGAGCGGGGCGGGCGGGGCAAGACCTAGCCCTTGAGGCCGCGGCGCTGGTCACGTGAGGCCAGTGGGCGGGGCCAGAGCGCGGCCCCACCCCGTCCCGGCCGTGACGCAGTGCGACGGCGAGGGAGGAGGAAGTGCCACTGGCCGGTCGGGTGCAGTGGGCTTGTAGGTGGTGCCTGTCGACTCGGGCCTCGGCGGACCCTGCCCGGAAGTACCGGTCCGAGCAGCGGAAACACCACCGCGGTGGCGCGGTCGGCGTCGGGTGGCCTTCTCGGCCCGAGGTCCTGGACCGACTGTTGACGTCATCTTGAGCCCATTATCTGCCCTCTGGGTTTCCTCCTCGACAAAATGAGGCTTGTGGCTGCACTGACCGACGGCTGGTTGTGGTGTAGGCCCATAATCCCAGCATTCTAAGAGGACGAGGCAGGAGGAACACATTTGTGTTCAGCCTGAGCAATTTAGTGACCCTGTCTCCAAAAGTGGGAAAATGGCGTGTAGCCTAGTCCTGGTTTGAATCCTCAATACCAAAAAGAAAGTTAACGTATTAGAAGTGCCAACTCTATCCTAAACAATGGAAAACTGGTGAGCCGATTTTCGCAAGATGTTTAGAAGAAACATCCTGCCACTGCGTAAGAACACAGGTCCCCGTGCCGACCCCTTTCTTCCATCAGGAGTATTTATGGATTGTGGGCGGTGATCTCAGTGGGTGACCTTTCCGTGTCACAGGCTCACACTGCTCAGCGCTTGGTTAGGTTGACAAGCACGGCCTAGGAGGCCCTGCGCGATCCTGGCTTTCTAGCCCAACCCAGCCCTTCACCCTGGACCCGATCTCGGCTCATCACGGTCTGCTGTACACACCGGTAGGCTCTTCCTCACCATCATTCCCCAAATGGGTTCCCTGATGTTCCCGGAGTCGCTTTCTTGCCATCTACCATTTGCTTGCTTTTCCTCTTTCCTTCCCATCCGTTCTCTTACACCGTTTGTACCACAGGATGGGGACCGTGTCTGTAATTTCTCTGGCACGTTTTACATAGCTTGGCCTAGGAGGTAAATGTGCTCAGTGGAGATGACAGACTATCACACTATTGCTCAGCCGTTCGAATGTTCTCTTCCTTAGCTGTCAACTCCTCCAGCACAGACCCATCTGGCTTGTAGGGCACTGCCAGACTGCTAGCACCCTTGGTGAGCGTTTTCACTGGTGTTCCCAGGGCCACACGAGGCTCTGAGTGAGCATTTGCAGAAGGAATGCAAGACTTGCAGTTACACGGGCTCATCCAACCATATTTCCAACACACTCCTCACTATCCAGCAAGGCCTGTTTCTGTCTGTAACACCTGGGGTGCCTGCAGAAGCCCTTAATAACACCCAGTCATTCCACGATAGCCCCTAGGCTGGAGAGATGAGGGCCAGAATCTTGCCCTTTGTGGTTCCTACTGCGCCAGGACGCACAGCTGCTTCTCTCTCCAAAAGCAGGCCCTTCCCTGGCAGCCTTTTCCTATGGAGACCACAACAGAACAGCGAAGGTGTCTTTTTGTTAAGTGTCTACAAGTGAGGAGGTGATCCTCCAGGGTTTGGTCCTTCCTTGTGCATCTTCCTTTCCCTTGCTAGTTTTAAACATGCAGCACCTCAAGCCCTCAGAATCTTACTAGCAATCTGAGTATTTTGTAGGATCCTAAACCAGTGGAAAAACCCAAGTATTTGCATTTTGTCCACCTACAAGATATACTAACAACTACCTGGAAATATAAAGATACAGAGATAAAATAGATAAAAATACTATCCATCTTGCAGAATAGATAAAAATCCCATCAGGCTGGGATGGATTAGGATCCTGGCTCTGCCACTTCTTAGCTGCCCATCTCCAGCTCTGAACTCTCGGTATACACACCTAGCCACAGTGGGCCTCAGCTTTCCCATCTAGGATACGAGGATTTGTAAAAGCCTTAAAGAAAAGACTAAAAGATATGAGAATAGCAATATCACTTTATAAAGACGGTAGGATTAAAGCATAGATACATAAAGACAGGAACATAGCCAGCACAAGTACCAAAAATGCTATTATCCCATGGTCAGAATAATCTATGTTGCATCTATGATTTGTCCATTTTTTTTATTCCTCTATTGATTGTACCCCATGAATTATGCAAGCTTGGCCTTATATTTTTATAGTACCTGCTAAAGAAGCAGGAAAGCCCTGCGTCCACTTACCCAGGTACTGCCATTAATGAGCACTTGTGTAACTCAAGGGCTGTGATGTTGGCAACTTCAGAACCGCACTCATCCACGTGGTACCTAATGTTTACACTGCCACAGTGATTCCGCAAATGACATTTCCAAGCTGGCAGCCCCAAAATTCTGAACCAGTTTGTGATAAAGCCAATAAATCTCCATTTTCCCAAAGCTCCCTCTAAACCCACGCTACAGGGTACAGCTGTTTTTTAGATCACGGGATGAGAACAGCGAACAACAGTAAAACACACACACATTTCCTCAGATCCTGAAATTTGAGATTTAGTGTTGAGGTTGGCAGGTCATTACTTGAGTGAGATGTCCGCTTTCCCTAGGGCCTGGATGGCCTTGTTTTCCAGCACTTCCATCTCTGTGCTGCCAGGTCTCACCATGTTGTTCAGCATGGCTCTCACAACAGTCACCACAGGCACAGAGAGGCCACTGGCCCAGGAGTTGGGTAAGGAGCTGAAGAATTTCCTAGCCAGCCATTCACCTGGCCGAGATTCTTGCCTGTCACATAATAAAACTCTAGGGAGAAAAAGAAAAGCAGAGGAAGATTCAGTAACTCGCATTCAGATTACAGTGGGTATTACAAGGAGCTGTGTCCCCTCGAGATGTGTATATTGAAATCCTAACACAATATGACTACATTTGGAATGGCCTTTAAGGAGAGAACAGGGTTAAGAACAGGGACAAGACTAATCCAGTAGCTTGGTGTCCTTACAGGATGAGCAAACACGTATCTGCCATGCACAGGAGCAAGCCATAAGGGGACACAACAAGAAAGTTGTGAGCCACCAGCCAGAAAGACAGGCCAGACACCCCCTAGCTGTCCTTCTTACCCTAGACAGCTAGGTGACAGCCCCTCCAGATGAGACACTGGCTTCTAGAGTTGAACCAACAGTGCTGCAGGCTCAGGCAACACAAACACTTACCCAGGTCTAAATACTGAGTAACGATCAAATTTTAATTCTTCAACCCTGGCTTCTGTTTCTCCCTGTTAAGACAAAAAGCATTTTCAGTAGTCAAGACAAACCGACTCAGTTAAGCAAAGTTCAAGAAACAAAAACTGGGAGATCTGAAGATAATATGCAACCCTCAAGACTCATAAAAATCCTTACCTAGAACTTCAGGTTCCAAAGCACGCACACAGTGCAAGAACAAAGAGAACATTTAATCCTGACATGCAAAAGAGTTCAAAGCCATTTGCTGAATTCACACCCTGATCATTTCATTTCTTGCTTTACTGACATTAAAACAAGCCCAGGGAGGTAAATAATACGTTGTTTTAACCACTGGAGCATTTTCACTTTAATTCAGAATTGGTGGTGCAAGTTAGCTGATGTTAAGTTCAAAAAAAATTTTTTTGGGGGGGGGCTGGTGAGATGGCTCAGTGGTCTAAAGCACCTACTTGGAACAAGCTTGGCAAAGCACAGGGACCGTGGTTCAATCCCCTAGCACCACATGCCAGCCAGCCCCACCCCCTGGTGGGCTGAACTGGCCACACACACACACACACACACACACACACACTAAATAAATAAAATTTTAAATTTTTTTTTTTTTTAATTTGGGTTTACAGTCAATTCCAATGGGTGGGGAAAGCCCGCAGAGGACACTTACTCAGGACATTCCCTGCCCTGAATTTCAAGACAAGATTACATCTAGATGATGCTTTGAATGTGCTAAGCAGACCACCCACTTGCATGTAGAAACTCACCTGAAATGCCAGAGGCTCTCTGGCCTCAGGGACCTCCTCCATTGGCACCTGTCTGTACCAGTCAGTTCCCACTGAACCTGCCACATCATATAGTCCTAGCTACTTAAAACACCTTTTTCATTTATGTAACTTGTAGTTTTTAGCACACATGCAATGAAACCTTTATCACAATCTAAGTATTAAAATCTAATTTTGAAATCTAAGAGATCCCACAACTTTCACAGTCATGCCCTATCTCCGCTGCCCACACCCCAGCCTACTACTAGTCTGGTTTCTGGCCCTGTACCTTTGCCTCCTCTGGACATTCCTTTTAGAATATGTGCTGCTGAAGTGACTTGAGTAATATTCCTTTTAGAGTCGAGCACTCCCCTATCGTATTGATTGGCCATGGTGTATCCATCAGCTGAGGCCACCTTGGTGGTTTTATGCTGACTATGGTGACTGATGCTGCCGTGAACATTTATATACATGTGCTTACATAAACATTTGGGGTTTTTTTTCACAGCTATACAAAATGTTTATTGAAACATTGTACATAATAGCTAAAAGTGCAGTTTCCATGTCCATAGAGAAACATAATAGCTAAAAGTGTAAACAGTATACATGTCTATAAAGAAATGAAAACGAAGTCACACAAAGTTATACAAAATGTTTATAGCAGCATGGTACACAATAGTTAAGAGTGTGAATAGTTTAAGTGTCTATCAATTGATAAAGTGGAATAATATTTTACAGTGAAAAGAAAGTACTGATGCATGCTACAACATGAATGAACTTTTAAAACATACTAAATGAATAGTTAGATGCAAACCCCCCATATACTGTATGATACCATTTATATGAAATGGCCAAATTAGGCAAATCTGGAGACAGAAAAATAAATCAAGATTGCTCAGGGTTGGAAAATTTTGGAGGGTAGGGTGCGAAATGATACTTAATTTCTCCTTTACATAAACATTTGTTTCTTCATTTTTAACACAAAGACATGTCTTGTTTTTATCACTACATGCATGCTGCTAAAAAAAAGCAGACAGTGCAGGCCTGAAATTGCTGTTCTCAGAAAAGCGAGCTTGCAAGGATGGCCCCTGGCCTGCTCTTGGGAACCCAGATTCCAGGAGTGTTCCCACATTCCCTGCGTGACTACAGTCATCCATTGCCCTTAAACTATTTACAAAAACGGCCTCGTGGAAATCTCCCCAACCTCCCTCTGGTCTTCGCCTGTGCAACTTTTCCCTTTGCTAATTTCCTTCCATATAATTCCTCATAGCTGTAGGTACAACTACCTGCTGCAACCCATGAGACTCCCTATTGCATACGCAGACTTGAGGGCAACCTTGGGGATCCTCCAAAACAAGCCAATTAAAAATTCCTTCAGATCAAGGGTCACCACGGTGGTCAAGGGTGCTGTGATAGTGCTGTGGGCACCGCACCCCAACAGCTTTCCCCACAGCACCAGCCGAGTGCCCACCAAGGTGGAACTGGTCAGGCGTCCGCAGTGCAGGCAGCTGCACCGTGCTCAAGGAGGATCCATTCTCAAGGAAGAACCGTTCTCAGGGGAAGTAAGAACAAAGGAGTTTCTCTAGATGGCTGCAAGGGGCAACTCACACACAAGCTGGCTGAGGACATCAAGAATAAACAGGAGAAACGTTACACACAGTAGTTGGAAGGTTGTTAGGGTGGGTGACTGCATGCCCCCCAAGCCCCATTCGGCCATGGGGCGAGGCGGGCTTTTTGGAGAAGGCTGAATGTGCAGTTTGTAACTGGCTTACCCTAGTGCTGGGACTGGGGGTGTGAGTGCTCCCCCTGCCCTACAGTGGGTACCCTGTATACTGTGTAAGGGAGGAAAAGAGACTTGCTCTCCCCTTCTGCTCTTCTGACGTTGGTACCTTCCACTGCCAAGAACGGTCTTTGCCACCCTGCCTTGGAACCAGCCCATGGGCTGTAAGCGACATAAACCTTTCCTCCTTTGAGTGTTGGGTATTTTGTCTCACCAACGAGAGAAAAGAAAACAAAGGTTATTCAGGGAAGATCATATTTCAAATTCTAGATGCAACCGTATTGTTCAGGGTCACTCCGGATGGACAAGTTGGTTGTCTTCTCTGTCCTTTTAATTAATCTCACTCAGAATGCCATGTTGCAGGTAATGCCAGTCAACTGCTTGCTGAGGCTCTCCATGGCTGTCATGTGTCAGTGACAAAAGGCTCTCTTTATACAATGCTTAGCAGCACTGGCTTTGGAATGAGGCAGCCTAGGTTTGAGCCCTGCCATTGCCCTGCTGGGGATCTCAGTGTCAGGGTGCTCCGTTTCCACCCAAATGCACCCAAGACTCCTGAGGCTGCCAGAAAAAAAAAAAAAAAAAAAATCCTTCCAAATGCACCCAAGAGCCCCTAGAACAGTGCCCAGCACAGTGATACTGTTATCTCACTGAGTCATTAGTATAACCCTATCGGTTAGCAGCAGTAGTTCCTTTATCTTTAAAGAAAATGAAATACACATAATATTTTCATTCCTGAAAGATATAAATATCTACCTTGCCACTGAGAACAAAATATGCTCTTCGATAATGCTTTTCAGAAACCGCATGTGTATTTTGAAAAGAACAACAACTTTTTTTTCTTCTATTCTAAAGGTCATTCTAGAGAAACTCTAAAAAGTTCAAACTGTCACTCTTGACTTGACTTCACTGGTGGCTCGTTGATCTTCATGTGCCTTCAAATAATCTTTTAGGATAAAGCGCCTGCTTAGACAAGCCCAGGGACCGGGGTTCGAGCCCTGGCACATGCCACACCAGCCCTGCCCCCGGGTGCGCTGAGCCGGCCACCAAAGTCTTGGCATGCCAGTAATCCCAGTGCGGGGGAGGCCGAGACAGGAGGATCGCTGAGTCCGAGCTATGTAGTGGAACTCTGTACCAAATACATTTTTAAAAAGAGACTTTTTGGATAGGAGTGATACATTCAGTTATAACCCATACTGAAAAAGATCTGGCAGTGTACATTATCGCAAGCTGATTATTAGCAAAAACAATGACAAGAATGATTACTAAAACAATCCTAATTTTATCTCTCATTTTAGAAAAACAGCATTGTGTTTAGAGTAAAAAGCAGGCCAGTGCAACTCCTGGACAATTTCAGGTGAAGAAGAGGCTTGAAATAAGAACTTACAATGGAGTAGCATGAAAGCCCTATGGTGTTATGTCTGAAAGAAACACTAGGACACTACAGCCAAATAACAACTGTGCCTGCAGAAGTTGGGCTGGACATGTTTTTGCTTTTAAGATGCAACTGGCATCTACAAAGCAACTGATTTCAGTGCACAGTGAAGGCTTTGTGGAAGTGAATCTGACCAAGGTCAGGACTGTTTGGACAAGTAGCTGGGCTGGCTAACACCACAGCAAACTCCTTCATGCTGCAAGTATTTAAGTGGAAGCCAGGTGACCCTCTGTAAAAGAAATGTACAACAGAAACAGTGTTTGGCCAGGTGACTTCTACAACCTGCCCTTAAACTATGGGCACATTTAAGCCAGGGCCCATCTTCCTGGAACATAAATTTTACTTCTAAGTTAGGAAATGTAAACTTCTTTTTTTTTTTTGTATTTTTTAAGGAAAGGTCTACAGGGTGTTTAGGGTCTCGCTACTAAATTGGACTCATACTGATCCTCCTGTTTACAGCCTCCCAAGAGCTGGGATTATAGGCTTGCACCACCACGCCCAGTCTCAATTGCTGTCTCAGCACACCCCGGGGGGGGCAGGGCCAGCACAGCAGGCCCGGGGATCGAACCCCAGACTCTCTGCCTGCTTGTGGGTGCTTTAATCTACTGAGTTATTTGGCCAGCCCTAGAAAATGGAAATTTAACTTTTTTTTTTTTAATTAAAAGGATCTCTATCAATGAGAATACAAGACATATAAAATGTGTGTGATACACATGAATTTTAAAAAAAATAAAACATTTATGTAGAGTTGGGCTTCTAGTTAGCATACTGCTTCTGGCTGGGTGTCCCTAAATCTCCCAGGTAGCACAAGCTCCTCCCTCCCAGCTGTCACACAAACTGAAGGGAATGTCCCCTAGAGATCACAGCCTCCAAAAGCCAGAGCTATAGCAACTCACTGCACTGACTCCTGGCTAACAGCAGGAGGAAGCCGGGAGTGGTGGTACACACCTTTAATCCCAGCCACTCGGGAGGCTGAGGTAGATTTCTAATTCCAGGGCGGCTTGGACAACTAGCAACACCCTGTCTCAAAGAAGAAAAAATGTCTGGGGCTGAGAGAGCACTTCCTAGGATGCACAGGGCCCTGAATTCCATTCCCTAGTGCCCTCACCCCCAGCGTGCACACGCGCACACACTCACACACACACACACACACAAAGGAGGGAAGACACTCCATCTTTGAAATCACTCCTGCAAAAATAGCCCCTGGAGCTACGAAAAATGCATAATTAAATGCACTTAATGACTTTTAAACACTAGTGTATTTGTATTATTTAGTCCTGCTGGTTAGCCCAAAGTATATTAAAGATAAAAATTCGCACAAACCTTAACTTGTAAATACAAAAATTTGCTCGCTCTATCGGCTCCTCGCGAGGACAGCAAGTTGAAGTGTTTGCACCCTCCAGTTTTGGCCAGCTCCGCCGACTTCAGCACATAATCTCGGTCAACACGGACAAATCCCTCCTGGGGGGAAACGATGTGAGTTATTACCCAGAGGCCCAGGTTCCTTTTAAAGAGCACTGTTTAGTTGGGGCAGCAGGCTGGCAGGTCTGGGAGGAAAGGGAAGCTAAATAAAAGGCCTCCAAGCAAGACGTGAGCGTCAGGGTAGGCTCTGGGAAGGGCTCCAAGTGTGGTCCTCCAGACAGGCCTCCAGCAGTAGCAGTGAGACCAGACTGTAGTGAGAAAACTGGGACAGCGACACAGAAACACAGACACTGAACAAACCCACAAGGCTCAAAGGGAACACGAAGATGAGCCCTAGAAACGGCTTGCGGCCACATATTTCCTTGACTTCTAATAACCTGACAACCTTACAGCTCGTTTTGCTGTGGTTTTTTTTGTGTGTGTTTTTTTCTGAGCCAACAGTTTCAGAGTGGCTGGGGACACTCCTCAGGCACTACATGAGCAGGTTAATGTCCAACTGCTGTCTATGAGTCACAACACAAATTTAGGAAATCCTTAAGGATTAAGGAGGAGTTTGGTGTTGTTGAATTTATTTATTTATTTTATTTCATTTTATTTTTGGTACTGGGGGTCGAACTCAGGATTTTGTACTTGCCAGGCAGGCACTTAAGCCATTAAGCTATCTCTCCACCCCTGTTGCTGTTGTTAAAAGAGGTACAAAATTAAAAATTAGCAGCAGCACGTGCCTAGCATATACTCAAAACTATGTCAGTCTATGAATAGAAGTTTGAAAAACCAGAGAAAAGGCATGTCCAGGTAGATATAAACAGAACTAAGTAAATGGGAATGAAGGAGTAGAGGACAGTTGCTCAAGGGGGAGGGAGGGGTGTGCACTTCTCCACTGCTCCTCGGGACCATCACCATGCTGGCACCCCAAACTCGAGACAGAGAAGAAAAGCTGAAGCTGCCTGGAGCTGACTGTCCCCCTTTGTCTAATGAGGTCTTGTAGAGGGAAACGCCAAATCTAAACATTAGATTCCTGCACCAAAGACTTTTTAAATTAGAAATTCCCCATCATAGTTGTTGGGTCTAAATGTTTCTTCGGTATGAGGACTTATTTCTTTCACAGAATGCTAGCAGGGACCTTCAGAAAACCCACATCCTAGGGAACCCGGTCCCGTGCTCCAGTGAGGGCTGGCTGAGAAGTGGGACACGCTGGCTCAGAGTGCAGGTCCTGGGCGCTCCAAGCCGGGCTCTTTCCAGGTAGTCGTGGCCTGTACAGCCCACACACTCTCCAGCTGATGGGAGGAACATCCGCAATACTGGCAGAATGAAGGACCTCGCGAAGATGTCACATCCGTCCCCCTACCTGGGAACATGACAGGCCACACAGCACAGGAGTGTTGATGTTGCAGTGTGCGCTAAGGATGCTGACCAGCTGCCTTTTCCGTGAGGAGCTAGAGACACTGTCCCATTGGGCTCAACGCCCTCACACGAGTGCTTGGACAACAGCGGCAGCAGAGGCTAGAGAGTACAACGTGCAAAGGGCTCGGGCCCAAACCACTGGCCTCGGATGTGGGGGACGTGACCACCAACCAAGGACAGTAGGCAGCCCGTAGAAGTTGGAACATGCAAGGCAGCGACTCTTCCCCGAGCCTCGAGGAAGGGCCGCAGCTTACCACCCCTTGATATCATCTCAGGAAAATCCACGTCCAACTTCCAGCCTACAGAACTGTAAGGAAATAAGCTTACACTTTTTTAGACCATGAAATTTGAGGCCACTTGTTACAGCAACAGTAAGAAACTAAGACAAAGGTCAATGTTTAAATAACAGGCCCAGGAAAACTGTTAAAACTTTGTATTGAGGGGCCAGGGAGATAGCTCAGTAGAGTAAGTGCTTGCCTGGCAAGCACAAGGGCCTGAGTTCAATCCCCAGTTCCACCAAAAACAAACAAACCAAAAAAACCTTTGTATTGAAATCCATGACAACAGAAAATATATTATAAGCAGAGAGCTTGGGGCATTTTCACAGATTTCTGTGCTCTGCAGGCAACTCCAGGACGGAGGACAGAACATTTTGATCGCCCTAGGAGCCCCGCTCACTCCCCCTCCTCATCCCTCGCATATGCTTCTCACTACGCCCACGGCCTGCAGGTCACGGCCTGCAGGTGATGCTACTTGTCCTGCCCTCTTTAGGTGGTAGAACCTCATCGCCTTCCCCATGAAGCACCACCTTCTTCTTTTCTGTCATACACGTGGCTGCAGGATTCCCAACAACCTACTCCCTGATCTGCCCTACATTCTGTTTGAGATTCATCTTGTGGAACTGGTAAAACAAACCAGTTTTAATACTTAGCACATCCTGGGAAACAGAAACAAGTGACTCTCATCAGAGCCTTTCTTTTCTTTAACTGGAGATTTTTAATGTTCTGAAAGTTTGCCAAGAAAAGTCCAAAACTACACAGCAAAGTTCCAACTGAATTTCTCTTCTGTGTCTATTTCCTCCCTTCACTCTGATTCAGTAGAACTTCAGTTTTAATAGCGGGTTATTCACAATAAAATGATATAGTTGGCTGCAGAAATAAATGTTATGGGTTATGTTGTTGTATTAGTATGATGGCTTGGAGGAATTATTATAGTTGTGTCTGTTAAAATGCTTTTCCTTTCATCAGCTTCTTTAAAAATCAGGGGAAAGATTGAGCCAATCCGAAGCCTCCAGACCGACGCTGTCTCTCTGACTTAATCCAGAGCAAGAAGAAGGATAATTTGATTAAACTGAAACCCTAATTTATGTGGCTTTAGTTCTGGATCAGCCTCTCCTTAATAGAGTGCTGTCGTCTCCAATTGTTTGACGGAAATTAAAGTGACATAAATACCATGGGACTCTTTCAATCTGATTAGTCAGCAAAGGCACATCAATACCACCCCAGCCCTCAGCCTCTGGCGTCCTTCCTTTCACCCGCCTCGCTGGCAACTGACAAGCGCCCCTTGAAGGACGAGCACCCACGCCGCTATGGACACCCCCAGCCTCGGCCCTTCATCCCCATTCAATGAGCCCGGTTGACAAGGTGCCCACACCTTGCCCCACTGGCGTTCTCCACACAAAGCTAAATATTGTTTTATTAGCAATCAATGGCTCTTAAGCCGAAATGATTTCACAAATCCTCTCAGCTCTCAAGCTGATTACAAAAACGCATTTTTCCAAGCCCACTAAATTTTAAATTTCACTTCCCTCACCCTGATGCCTGGCCTTTTGGCTGGTGAATGGGACAGCTTTCAAGGATTCAGAAATCAAACTGAGCAGGGTGCTGATGACCGACGGGCTGGGAGAGAGCAACAAGCCTCGGTCCTCCCCGGAGTAAGGGATGGGTTACTCAGAGAGAGAGAAGCCACCTTTACAATCTCATTTGTGTCCTTTCTTCTCCAACTCAAATTTAAAAAACAATAGAAAAACAATTTTTGGAAATACTATAAACCATGTACTTATTTCCCTAACCATATGGCAAGAAAAGAAATGGCCATCTCTTCTGAGAGTACTAAGCCCATCTCATTAGCATGTCTTTACAATTCTTTAACCCATCGGTGAGTCCTAGTCTAAGCTGATAAGCAGTGTTCCTTGTAGAAAGAGAAATGTTTCTTTCCCAGCACCCAAAAGAATATATGCAAAGTACTATAATTCAGCACAGTTGAGGCCATAAACATCAAAGAAGACAAACTCTCCAATTACTCTTAAGTCTAATAAAACCCAAAGCTACTAAGTCCATGGAAGTAATTAAAAAAAAAAAAAATACATCCAATGTTTCAATTTTTCATATTTATTAAGACACACTCATTCACGCTCCTCCTTGCTCTGAACACACTTATTCTATCATTCCTGCCACTTTCTGAAGCAGCTTTGAAAGTCCTTTGCGTGAGTATCTTTATGAGGTGTGTTCAAAACCACAGTGAACACAGTTGCTGCGCTATCCAATGAAATGGCAGGCTTGTAGCATCATTCCGGTGAGTCCTCCCCACCTTATTAATCAGATGTGCTACCGTGTGACGTCAGCTCTTCTCCAAAGTCAAATGACCACAGAAGGTAAATGTTTGGGGGAAGGAAAAAAAGCAAAGGTAAATGTTTTGAATTAGGTGAGGACACTAAGGAAGCCACAAAAAGATTCCCAAAAGAGGTCTTTCAGACCTCTTCAGAAAGTGGCAAGAACCATGGGGTACACATGTTCAAAGGGGGACGAAGTATTCTGAGGGGAGGAATGCCAATATGTCTTGCTGTGACACAGTTTTTAAATTGTAAATTTGGGATCCTATCTTGTATTTCTCCCAGTCTTCTTTACCAAAGTCTAAAAATTATTAACAGTACTGTGGCTCAAGAATGACTGATCCCGGCTGGGGAGCTAGCTCGGCAGTCTACGCGCCTGCCTGGCAAGGGCAAGGACCCACATTCAATCCCTGGTATCACATGCTGCGCCAGCCATCCAAACTGGGAGTGGTACTGCACGCACGCCTGTAATTCCAGCGCTGGTGAGGCTGAGACAGGAGGAGCACTACAAGTCTATGCTGTGTAGCAAAACCCTGTATCAAGAAAGAGAGAGAGAAAGAGAGAGAGAGAGAGAGAGAGAGAGAGAGAGAGAGAGACAGAGAGACAGAGAGACAGAGACAGACAGACAGACAGAGACCAGATTGACTGACTGACTGACTGACTGACTGACTGACTGACTCCGACATGGCATTTCATGGTTGGCAATGGATAATAGGTCCAGAGAACACACTGAGGGCCTGAAGGTCACGGCATCCCTGCTGTCATCCTGGCAGTGGTCTCCCTTACTCTACTTCTGCTTTGGTCCTTTCTCCTTGACTCCCTTTTCAGTCCAACCTTAAATCGGACCAGAAAACAGCGACACTGACAGACAGCAAATGCTACACACTGAGCTCCCACCTGTCTATGTCCTGGGGGCCCCTCTGTATTTGATGTACAGAGGTGAGAGAACAATCTCAGAGAAAGAGCCCCTTGGAAATAACCCAAATGCTCATGGAAGAATGGATAAAACAGATGTGGTATTGTT